GAGAGAGAGAGAGAAGAGAGAGAGAGAGAGAGAGAGAGAGAGAGAGAGAGAGAGAGAGAGAGAGAGAGAGAGAGAGAGAGAGAGAGAGAGAGAGAGAGAGAGAGAAGAGAGAGAGAGAAGAGAGAGAGAGAGAGAGAGAGAGAGAGAGAGAGAGAGAGAGAGAGAGAGAAGAGAGAGAGAGAGAGAGAGAGAGAGAGAGAGAGAGAGAGAGAGAGAGAGAGAGAGAGAGAGAGAGAGAGAGAGAGAGAAGAGAGAGAGAGAGAGAGAGAGAGAGAGAGAGAGAGAGAAGAGAGAGAGAGAGAGAGAGAGAGAGAGAGAGAAGAGAGAGAGAGAGAGAGAGAGAGAGAGAGAGAGAGAGAGAGAGAGAGAGAGAGACCGAGACATGAGTTTGAGTAAATACTGCACATCATATATGTTCGTGTCCACGTGCGTACACATGTCTGCATGCGTGTGTATACAACCCGCAAGCAATCTCCCAGGCCACGCCAACAAAAACTAAGAGCAAGCAACACGTAGTGCTCTTAATAACTTCCCTTTTAACTACACACTGACTCACAACCATTTCACTGAAGGGACGATGGCAAGTGATAGCTCTGTCGCTCTCAGCTGGCATAGCAACTGCTCAAACGCGGGCCCACCGGTTTCCCCTGATGGTCAAAACATTTAAATTCGTTAACACAACAGCTGGTATCTCTTATCGTCTAGCCGGCAGACACATTAATTGCACATATTGCTTTAGGAAAAGTTATCCAGTATTTTTTTGTGTGCTCTTTTTATATTTATCGCAGCCGGACGTCTGGTGGCAAAGTTTAACGGCCTAGATTGTATAACATCGAGACAATTTCTCCGTGTGAGAACGTATTCATGGCGGGAAGGAAAAGAAAATATTTAGAACTATAACAAGCAGTGTTCACTTTTTCTTTCGTTGTTTACTTTCTGTCCGTATAAAAGATAATAAATACAGTTTCCTTTCTTGTTTTATGGGCATATTTAACTGATATTGAGCAAGTGTATGATCTATAACATAAAAGGCCTGGTTAACTTGAGCGGCGAAGCACGTTGATCATTATTATTATCCATCCATCCTCCTTCCCTCTCTCATCTTTCCCTTCGCCTCTCCTCTAAAATTTAAGAAACCGTAACTGCTGCAGCTCTTTTTCCTCACAGGGGGAGGGGATGGGGGGCTGAGGGGAGAGTAGCGGGTAGGGGGAGCAAGGGAAGGGGTGAGAGTCGGGAAGGGAGTGGAGGGGGACGGGTACAGGGGAGAGTGGCGGGGGAAAGAGTGCGGGGGGGAGTGTAGTGGGACGGGGGTGGAGGAGAGAGAGTGGAGAGGGGAGGGGTGCAGGGGGTAGGGGCGGGAAATAGCTCAAGAGAGGGGGTGGCGGGAAAGGGGTGGAGAGGGGGGAAGAGTGGTGGGAGGGGAGGAGAGGACGGAAGGGGATAGAGAAGACTCGAGTGTGTTGGGAAGCAGAGGGGGGGGGGGGAGGCGTAGAGATCAGCAGAGGAGGTTGGAAGGGGAGCAGAGACATCAGAAGGGGAGAGGGAGAAGGGAAGACGGGAGGTGGGTAGGCAGAAGGACAGAGAGAGGGGGGTCGAGGGCGGTGGGTAGGTGGGCAGGGGGAGGAGGGGAAGGCAGCAGTGCGTGACAGCCCGGACTCTGCTAAATAGTTAATACAAGGTGTGGGAAGGGACTCATAACGCCAGGGTGAGTGCCAGGTGGGTCGGGTCGTCGGGGGCACAGAGGTCAGGAGGATGTGGGTATGTTTGGCGTTATGAGGCGAGGGAAGAGGAGGGGGGTGGGGAGGGTGAGTGGGTATAGGCGGAGGGAAAGGGAGGGGGTGGTTAGATAATACTGACGAGATGTATTACGTCACACGTCCATTCTTACACGTGTGCGGAGACTACTCGATCGTTTATACATATTTCACCACTATATGACCCGATTTATGACGTGGATATAGATTATGTGAACCGGTTTTATACTACAGTGTAAAGATCGATGTAAAAACAAAAAAAGAGCTTGTAAATAAGGCAGCTGCTGTTTATTATATCGATATGTGAAGTCGATATGACTATTACCACTCTCAACCTCATTTCACATTAACAGTCGCAGAATTTACAACTGGAATTGGACAGGGCCCCAGCGTAGGCTTGCACGAACCACGTCATCGCTTTCATCGATCAGCTGATTTCAACCCGTTACCGGTTTCTCTGGCTTTAACTAAACTTGCGAGACAGTTACCGTTTACACTATGTGCTTCTTGATGTCAACTGTATTTGTGAAGTTTGGTGTTTTATCGTTAACTGTATTAGTGAAGTTTGGTGTTTCATTGTTTCTACTGGTGAACAGTTGCCGAGAAATGTGTTTTATGTTGCGGAGAAGAATGGCGAGAGAAGAATAAAAGAGAAAAAAAAATAAACGAAAGGGAATAAAAAGTCAAAGACAGCTGAAGGAAAACAACAGCAAAAAAAAAAAAAAAAAAAAAAAAAAAAAAAAACGAACAAAAAGAATGACGTCAATAAATGAAAAAGAAAAAGAAAGAGAGAAAAAAAGCGACACACCATTAACGCCATTGCACTTTCATTCCTTATGTCAAACTTTTAAGTGATCGTTGTTAGTGAACGCAGGAAGTGGTCAAACGCCAACTCGCATTTGTTTGAAGTGAACGGAGTAATATCGCAAGTCTTGGAAGTTGCGAAGTCGATGAAAAAAGGGAAAATAGTATTTAAAATGTTTAGAAACGGAAATACAAGTGACATGCAGATCAGTAGTAAAATAAGAGAGGAATACACACATACAGACATATATCATGTATATGTATATGTGTGTGTGTGTGTGTGTGTGTGTGTGGTGTGTGTGTGTGTGTGTGTGTGTGTGTGTGTGTGTGTGTGTGTGTGTGTGTGTGTTGTGTGTGTGTGTGTGTGTGCGTGTGCGTGTGCGTGTGCGTGCGTGTGCGTTGTGATGGTGATGATGATGTGATGATGATGATGATGTGATGATGATGATGACAGGTGATTATGATGATGACAATGACGATGATGATATTAATGGTAATATTATTAATAATAATGATAATGATAATGATAAGAATTTTGTTCGTGTTCGTGCACAGACACATACATGCTTGCAGGGAAGGGGAGGGGTGCAGAAGAGACAGAGGCAGAGAAAGAGAATGAGAAAGACAGACAGGCAGATGCAGAGGCAGCCAGAGAGAGGAACACGACAATACCAGTTAACACATGTGCAGAATGACCACCTGAAAGAATGAGTCAGAGAGCAGGTGTGACTTTTCCCCTGGGCTCCCCTCGCTCGTGTTAACCGTGTATATACAACACTTTTTTTTTTTTTCTTCTTCTCCTGTAATGTATATATACGCAGCAACTAATTAAGCACCAGTTATGAAACCCATATACATTCTTGCTTGCGAAGTACGCTGGAAAAGTCGATCGTTGAAGTATGTTAAATGTGTAATAAAATGGAGTCTTTTAAATATGTAGCTTAGGGACAGAAAGTGATTTACTGGTGTGTTTTTGTGGGATTGTGGCAGCGGCAGCGCATACCTCTGTTGTTTTATGCCTGTCTTGATGTCATTTCTTTTTTTATGTCCAGGTGAGGGTCATTCTCTCGGGCAGTCTCACAAGGACTGATCACCACAACACACACCGTCTGGTGTTGTACAACACCAACACGACACGACACATTCGACCACACACATACACACACAAACACACAAAGTGGTATTGTGGCAGACACACTACATAGTGCACACCACACAAACCTTGTTGTAACACCACACACCACACACACGGCTGTCTTATATGTTTAATGTGTAGGCAGGTATTCTCTACAACCCCTCGTATAACATGGAATTGAAAAGGTTTTCTTTTACACCATCGTTACAACTAAACAAGGTATCACAACACATACAAACAGACACGACAGCACGTGCCTGCACCACCCACACGCCACTTATAGAAATAGTGCATGCACACAAAAACTGCTAACATACGATTAAGTCATATGGTTATCGCGCGACCAACAGAACGGCCCGGGTCAGGTATATTTTTTGTAAGATATATATGTCTATAAACCACGGTAGCAAAAATCTACACCACCATTGCGTATAAGTTTAAATGCCAAGGTTTCTTTTACTTGCCAAGGCGTCTCGAACTAGAAGGTAAATCTGATGTGCCATTTCAGAGGGTTGGATAAGCAGAAATCCAATGACCTTTGCCTTATAGAAATATGCATGAAATAATAAACTCGATACATATTAAGTCCGTTATCAACCAAAGAGCAAAACTGGTCAGGTTATATTTTGGAAATAGTCAAATAAACACAAACCACTCGTTTTCTACTGCTAAACCTTCACAAATATGGGCTGGTTGGGTTGGGAGTGTCTTGAACGCCTTTCATCATAACCTCGCCACGTTGGGTAGGAAGACATATTTTTTCTTCTTTTTTTTTTTTTTTTTTTTTTTTCTTTTTTTGTCTTGCGTCGGACTACTTTCACTCGTCTCGTTCTTCTTCAATATGGCTTTTGTGCGATTGTTTTTTCAATTTCATATTTCTCACTTCAGTGCTTGAATTACTTTTGGATTATTATTAACTACGTTTATTATTTACTTTTTTGGGGGGGTTTGATATTGTTTCTAAGTGTTCATTTGTTATTTGGTGCTCTCTATGAATCATCATTTTTCTTCTTTTCTCGTTTAGTTCAATCAAAAGTTTGTTTTCTGCGTCGAGGTAATATATCTTAAAGGAATTGTCACCGGAAGAAAACTGAATTCCCAATTAATTGTCTAGAAACCAGCCTCCAATTCACAGAAAAATAAGTTTCACCTCGATGACACAGAAAAAAACAACAACACAAGTGGTCCGCCATCCACATACTCTAGTTCCTCCAATACAATTTAAACAACAGATGACATTTTTCACAGCTTCTCTTCCCAAGCGACCGAGCAACGCAGGTGGGAAGCGACGGGAGCCTCTGACCCACCTGCTCCTGACGGACAACATCACACCTCGACCACCAGAGCGCGACTGTTCGCTCGACTCCATCGCTGCCTCCCAGTTCTCGCCACCTCGTACGAACGGACGCACGCACGAACACATAGGCACATACACGTACACAATCGCCGTCCATGTTTGCTCTTAATAGCGTGGATAACGTCATAAAGAGAGTTCTAGTATTATCAGGAAATTGCACAGGCAAATAGCTAATTTTGTGTAACATTGAACTTTTCTTTTGATAATGAAAGAAATGATATAGAACACTTGGGCGAATCTAATAACAGCTGATGTTATGACCACATCGTGCATCTCTTGCTTAGCATAATTTGCACTTCCCGTTGTACTGCATTACGTAACACTGCAGCAAATTGCGACGTTATGAATGCTCGTTGGACAGCAACATACGCACATGTACGTCGATACATGCAACGGTACGAGACAGTGAAGGTTAAAGGATGGATAAACCGATAAGATAAACAAGTAAATAATTTAGGGAAAAAGGGAAAGACTTTGCGTGAAAGTATTCATGCACATATTCATGTAAAACGAAGAATATATACATCTATGTGTATATGAATATATTTTTTTTTTCTGAGTGATAGGGATTAGTCCATGTATAAGCACACCACACAACACAACACACACAACACACACACACACACACACACACACACACACACACACACACACACCACACACCACACACACACACACACACAGCACACACACACACACACATACACACCCACACACACACACACACACACACACATACACATATATATATATATATATATATAATATATATATATATAGAGAGAGAGAGGAGAGAGAGAGAGAGAGAGAGAGAGAGAGAGAGAGAGAGAGAGAGAAAGAAAGAGAGAGAGAGGCAGATAGGAAACTAGAAACACAGACGGCTAAAACAGACAGGCAGACAGACAGATAGACAAGCACTGACAAAAAGGAGGACAGAGACTGACAAAACGGCAGACATACCAACCGACAGAGAGAAAAAGAGACAGAAAGAAAGATGGAAACACAGATTGAGACAGAGAGGGAGACAGCGAGGATGCTACAAACCTCATCCTCAATTATTTTCCCCCTTGGCTCCCCCCCCCCCCTCATCCACTAACTCCACATTGCTCCACCGGCCCCGCTTCATCCACCGCTAAAGCCACAACCATGTCCATTCTAGTTCACCTTCGTCATCACACTCACCACACTCTCTTCAAGTTCCCGACGTGCCGCTTCACCCAGACGCCACAGCCTCTCCTCCTCCCACAATCCCGCCATCACACGATAGAAAAAATCATAGACAATCTGGTAAGTATTGTATTTCTGAGCGATTTTATCTTATTTTTTAAAAGTTTTTTTTTTTTTTTTTAATTTCATTATGGTAAGAATGTGGCTTTGATTTGTTTTGTAATCAGATTTCCTATTTTTTCCCGAGTGTGGAAACTTTTGTGAATGGTTTTGGCATTACGAAATATTCAGTATATGTGGAGTATGTTAATCTTTACTGGTGAGGCCATGCATAATTTAAACATCCGGTGGTTACGTCGGAGAAGAACCATTTGCTCAATGTTTCTCAATATTATCTATATTCATTAAATTATGTATATTTCCAATACTTATCACCAGTGTGGCCTGCAAATGCAAATCATGTGAATGTATGACGTAGGATAGATTGTGATCAGCTGATGCCCTAATTACAGTGGTGTTCCTTTGTTCTTTCCAGTATTGTCCCTTCGTTGTATCTTAGATGTTAGTTGACTGTTATCGGACACAGAACCTACATCTTTAATGGTTGTACTGAAGTAAAAGATTATGTATTGAAAAAACGCCGCCTTTCTAATATGTTGTATTGTCCTTTTTTAAAAATAAGTATGGAATTCTGAAAGATTCGATGCCTTTCCTTCTCAGGTGCCCTACGTACGTAATTACATTGGTTAATGGCTAATCCAAGGTCTATGAAATGCTTGGGTAATTCCAGAGCTGATACTGTGACCTCGTCTTCCCCGCATCAGTAGGTTTTCGACGATCCATTCCTAATCTCGATACTTACTATATCTTCTCTGGTTTTCAAATACACGCTCTCTGTCTGTCTCTCTCTCTCTGCTCACACACACGCACACACTCTCACTCACTCACTCTCTGTCTGTCTCTCTGTCTTTCTCTGTCTGTCTGTCTGTCTGTCTATATGTCTGTCTCTCTCTCTCTCTCTCTCTCTCTCTCTCTCTCTCCCCCTCACTACCCCCCCTCTCTCTCTCTCTCTCTCTCTCTCTCTCTCTCTCTCTCTCTCTCTCTCTCTCTCTCTCTCTCTCTCTCTCTTCTCTCTCTCTCTCTCTCTCTCTCTCTCTCTCCTCTCTCTCTCTCTCTCTCTCTCTTCTCTCTCTCTCTCTCTCTCTCTCTCTCTCTCTCTCTCTCTCTCTCTCTCTCCTCCCTCTTCCCCCCCCTCTCTCTCTCTCTCCCTCTCTACCCCCCCCCTCTCTCTCTCTCTCACACATACACCCCACACACAATCCCATCTCCCCTCCCTCCCAAGAAATGAACTCCTTCCCTTCACTTATAAATCCAATAACCTCAACACCCCATTAAACATTTGCTTCCCTTGTGGTCAGTTTTCATTGCGCGCCGCCACCGCAGAATGTTATAATCACCGTCCATGTTCCAGGTTTCATGACCACTTCTCTTGCACCTCTTGCGGATTTTTTTTTTTCAATTCTCAGCTGCAGTTAACTCATACGAGAGGATTTAATTAGATTTGTTCGTGAAGGAAAGAAAAAGAAAAAAAACTATTTGCAGGACCGTAGATGTAGGATTTTTTGTTTTGTTTATTTTCACCGAGGATAATTTTTTCGCGCGGTTTCGAATGCTCATCCTTGACTCCTTTCCTTGGGTCTGAAAACCATGAAGGACTTTTGTTTTCTAACTTTAGAATCCGTTCACAGGAGTTTTTGCAGATTTTCATTTTTGTTTAAATTTCTATCAATATTACGGAAAGCCTTTCTGAACTATTATCAGTTTTTATTCCGATTTTCTTAAATTCGTTATTTCATGAATATCAATGTGAATTTAGCTTTTAAAATAAGTATGTGGTATTTCGATATGACATTGTAATTGCAAATTAACTCGAGTTTAAGCATGTAACTTCGTAAATGGATACATATATAAATAGACAGGCAGACAGACAGACGGGCAGACGGAAGGACAGACATACAGACAGACAGACCACACGCAAATACTAATTTAAACGGATCCTCTTCATATTCCTTTCAGATAGACCATAATGACTCTAGATTAGCTTAATGAGGTAAATATGTACACAACCAAACATGGAAATAACCCCCTCGCTGCGCATCCAGACACGTGGAAACTGCGGAACACTTTCTAACTAGTTTCGCGTGAAGGAATTTATACATGTCCTCCCTCCCTCCCCCTTTCTTACCTCCTCCTCCCTCCCTCCTCCCCCTTCTTACCTCCTCCTCCTCCTCCCTCCCCCCTTCTCACCTTCTCCTCCCTCCCTCCCTCCCCCTTCTCCTCCTCCTCCTCCCTCCTTCCCCCTCCTTCTTACCTCCTCTCCCTCCCTCCTCCCCCTTCTCACCTTTCTCCCTCCCTTCCCCTTCTTACCTCTCCTCCTCCCCCTCTCTCCCCCTTCTTACCTCCTCCTCCCTCTCTCCCCCTTCTTACCCCTCCCTCCTCCCTTCCCTCCCCTCCTCCCCCTTCTTACCTCTCCTCCTCCCTCCTCCCTCCCTCCTCCTCCCTCCTTCCTCCTCCTCCCTCCCTCCCTCCCCTTCTTACCTCCTCTTCCTCCCTCCCCCCTCCTCACCTCCTCCTCCCTCCTCCTCCCCCCTTTTTACCTCCTCCTCCCTACCTCCTCCTCCTCAGCCTCCCTCCCCTTCTTACCTCCTCCTCCCTCCTCCCCCTCCTACATGGGAACCTCCATTCCTTATCGCTTCGTTACTTCTTATCACCGAAATCTGCTTCATTTTGTGTTTGTTTTGAGATTGTTCCGCAATCACGCACGTATGTGTAGAATGTCGGCCGCTTTTTAAAAATTACACGAGGTCCGCCCTAATGGACATTCATTATACGGACATACATATACACAGAAGTGAATACATATCTATCAGTCCTAGATACGTATGTCTACCGTATAGATAGAGAGATAAATGTGTATTTATCTTATTGATAGATATGGATTTATTTCTGTGTACATGCATGTCTGTATACATGAACAAGGGCCGTGTATGTTGATTGTTTCGTGAATGCGTGTATGTTTCTTGTGGGGATATGTACATATATTTGTAAATACAAACGCACGGTGTGTGTATTAGTAAACATACATCCATGTTCTTTCTCGTCGTGATACTAAGACACGTATTTCACTCATTTTTTATACAGATTCACACACACACAGGCAAAAATTTCTCATAGAATGCAAATCTGAATATATATATATATATATATATATATATATATATATATATATATATATATAATATATACATATATGTGTGTGTGTGTGTGTGTGTGTGTGTGTGTGTGTGTGTGTGTGTATTTGTATTATATATATATTATATATATATTATACACAACACACATATATATTACACACATATGTATGCACACACACATACATACATGCACATATCCATATCATTTTGATTATCTGTCTATCTGTCTTTATATTTATGCACAGTGGCATAATGCGCACACGGTCTTTCTCTAGATTACCAAAACGCATATTCAGTCATTTTGCACAAATTTGCAAAATGTATCGGGGAATCCAAGTACAGACACGGAATCAGAAATCCTCGAAGAAATCAAGCCAATATGACTCCGAGAAAATGCAGTGACTGAAAAAAAAAGTTATAAGTCATGGCCGAAACTTGACTTTCGCAAAACACAACAAGGTAAAACCGCAGGTAATTTGATTTGTCTTCCTCCAAGGTTTTGTTCCCTGCAACATTTATGACGACGCCCCCGCATATAAATTTGATTGTCTGCACTTTTGCTTTCAGTTTGAAACCGTAATTGTTTTTTTGCATTTTATTCGTTTATGCGTAAATTGATGCTACT